ATATATAAAAACTCCACAGGTCATAATTTATTCTAGGGGATGTATACGCTTTTACAACAAAATCCCAGAAAATATACAAAATTTGACGTAAGTACAAATACTTTAAAAACTTTATTAAACTAAGTTTGTATAAAAAGGGTTATTTTAATATTAAGGAATTTATGGATGATAATAACTCCTGGGAAGGGTGATCGCTACCAAGCTATTTCTAATTTGTTTTGTGTTGTTAGTTGTAGCACGCATGATTGTAAGCTCTTATTTTTTTTTAAAAAGTCCCGTTGGGTTTCTTGCTGGTTCTTCCCAGGACAAAGGTTTTTCTGCGAACCAGTGGTAAAAAAAGTGACTTTCAATAAGTATTATTCATACTCTATATTGAATAAAAAAGTTTCTGTTTCTGTTTCCAGAGCTTACTGTGCGTAATTTTGTAATTTTTTGTTTGTCTTCTTATTTTGCGACTCGGTTTTAACTTTTTGGACTGTTTCTTCTATAATAACTTTTTGTACGTGGTAGAGCTACGCTACATCTATATTATAGTTGTAGCACGAACACGTCGGCTCATCCGGGGCCGGACCACGCTCTCACAGAATACCAGCGTAAAATAGTAGCGTAATGCTGCTGTTTTTCGTATGGTGAATGTAGAGAACTGGAGACCCTTTTTACTGGAATCGAGGCATTCCATCTTAAGCCTCTGGGGTGACAACGCATTTGCATTTTGATTCTGAATTGAGAATAAATATATATGTCTATGGGCCATAGCATCCACTTAACATCAGGTGGACTGTGTGCTCGTTTGTCACCCAATGCTATAAAAAACTACTGGTATCAGCTTGCTTAGTATTGTGGGTAAACTGTATGCTAAGGTGTTAATTGAAAGAGTTATGAAAGAAACTGATGGAAAAATTTGGGATGTGCAAGCGAGTTTTCGAAAGGGAATGGGATGTACAGATCAAGTCTTTTCCATGCGCATGATTGCGGAGAAGTTTTTGGCTAAAAACCAGAAAGTTTTTTGTGCGTTCATGGACTTGGAAAAGGCTTATAACAGAGTGGACAGGAATGTGTTATGGCAAACACTGAACTCATATGGGTAGAGCGCTGGTTTGATACAGGCATTGAGGTCTCTTTATAGGGATTCTAGTGCTTGTGTCAGGATCAATGGGGTCTACTCGGACTGGTTTGGCATTCGAAAAGGTGTCAGACAGGGCTGTGTGGCTTCCCATTGGCTGTTCAACCTATTTATGGACAGGTGTTTGCAAACTTTGAAAGATGAAGAATGTGGTTTAAGAATGGGCGAGTTAACCGTCAAATGCCTTTTGTATACCGATGATCAAGTCATATTTGCGTCATCGGCGGCTGAATTGCAAATGATGGTTACATTAATGAACTGGGCATTAAAACAAAGGGGAATGAAAGTGAACGCAAGTAAGACGAAAGTGATGGTTTTTGAAAGAGAGGAAAGCAAAACGGTATGTGAAATAAGAATAGAAGGAGAGTTAATTGAGCAAGTGGATGAGTTCGTGTATTTGGGATGTGTATTTAGCAGGGATAGTAGATATGATAAGGATATAGAAGGACGAGTAAATGCAGGGAATAGAGTGAATAGGGCACTACACTCTATTGTGAAGAACCAGAATATGTATCAAAAAAGGCACGTATGGTAATTCATAATGCTGTGTTAGTCCCTACTTTAATGTATGGTAGTGAAAGCTGGGTGTGGCAGAAGAAGCACGAAAGTAGAATAAATGCTGTAGAAATGCGGTCTTTAAGGAGTATGCTAGGGTTGAATCTGAATGACAGGGTGAGAAATTGCGTGATAGAAATAAATGTGGTATGCAAGATGATGTTGTGACCAGGATTAAGAAAGGAATGCTTCGGTGGTTTGGTCACGTAGAAAGAATGAATGAGGGAAGAGTGACAAAGCAAATTTATATGGCAGATGTGAACGGCAGAGTCGGAAAGGGACGCCCTAAAAATAAGTTTATCGACCAAATTGGCGATATTTTGAAAATGGGCCACGTTAAAAGTACCCTTAACCGACGAGCATGTATGCGTAGATATACGGATGTAAAGGAGGCGAAAGAGGGGACAGGATCGTGTCAAATGGAAGTCCGTAGTCTCTGTCTACCCCTCTGGGTGACAGGCGTGAGTGTTTATGTATGTATGTATGTATGCTATAAAAAATATTCGTTGAAGCATGTGCCCATGTCACAAAGGATGATTAGGCAAAAGTGGTAGAAAAAACAAGAAAATTGATTATATATTGAATATGACTTTGAAAGAGACATTAATTTTGTCTGCATTATTGAAAATCTAATAATAATTAATATAAACAACGACATATCTAATAGTTTTACTGAAAATGATTGAATAAATTTATTTTTAATCTAGTTTCAATTTTAGGTTTTTATAACTATGCCTCTAGAAATAAGCAGTAACAACAAATACGAAGAAACTGATAAATCTTGTGTTCTAAATTATCCGTTTTTAATTTATTCTGGTATTATTCAAACCAAACGATAATATATATATAATCGATATCGATGTTTTAAAGAATCGAATTGAAAGTTCTGAAACGAAACTTTAAAGAAAAGAATTGTACGTTCCCAATTTTTGGTTGGCATGCTTAGTGCAATAAATCTGACAGCTGTCAAAATGTATTTCTTAGATTTGGTTGACTATAGGTAGGAAAACTCTGAACCCTGAACAAACCAGTGACGACAAGCAGCATTGCGAAGGAATAGACTCTGCGTTTTAAAATTGGGAAAACTTTCCAAGTAATATTTACTTACCTGTTGGCATGATCTTCGAAACGCCTATGCATAGCAGTTGACTTAGAAGAAGAAGAAGTCTTCTTCTTCTAAAATAATTACATTAACAGAGCAGGTAAATAAAACAAGTGCTTTTCAGTAAGAAAGAAATCAGAAGAAATAGAAAATCTTGAATATATTTTTTTCTTAATTTAGAGTCTTTATGAGTAAAAGCACAGATTATCAATTGTAAAAATTCGTTAATTTACCATTTTGATTTAAAAAAAATCAGAATTTAATCAATAATTTTAACTGTATATGGGTATTACATCATTGATTCTAATTACGTTAGTACATCGAATGAAACCAGTTCGACGGCGATATCAATATTTGTTTTCGTGATAATAATAGATATGTATGGCGAAAATAAATAATGAACAGACTTACGGTAAATACGAGACACATACTTCTAAAACCCATCCGACTTTATAAACCATCCAACGATGATAATAAGTCAAAATTTTGATTTCGGAATACTGGACTTGTTACAAAACTTTCCACAGTGGAGCTTAAAATATATTGGAATTTAAGTCAAAAATGCGTACGGAGGTAAACAACCCCCTTTAATAACTTTCTTACTAAATTTCAAAATAAGTTTAGTGTGAGCGCCATCTACGGAATCAAACATAAAATACGATATCAGTTTAAAAAATCCGAGTACCACGACGATTGGCATTTATGTTAAACTTAGCGACATCTGTTGATTTGTCGCGAAATCAAATGAAAGGTAGTGTTACAAATTACGTTACTGTTTTTGTTTTAGCGTACAGATGGCACATGCGATCAGAATCATAATTTTGAGATTAAAAAAATTACAATACAAAACAAAACTAAACACTAATTATTACTAATTACATAGAACTCAGTTAATATATGGGGTTAAATATAAAATTAAATAACAATGAAGATAATGTTATCATAGAATGTACGGGCTTATTATGTAAAATTTGATTATTTAAATGTCAGCTTAAATAAAAATATTATTTTATGTATCTGTGAACTTCTATCATGTACAATAAAATTAAAAACCAATAAAACCTGTTTCTCATTTTAAAAAAATTAAACAATTACAACTTGAAGCAACCCCTTTCAAAGCTTCATTGTAGGTACTGTAATGAATACTATATATTATAATATTAACCTAACAAACAAACAGAATGAAGTAACAACACCTATCCATTTACAAATCACTCTCACTAAATTACCTTCACAGTAGCCATATAGCTCGTAATTGAAATAGAAAGTACACTACGTTTCATTAAAAACCTATTACATGCTTACATGTCGTTATATCATTAACTTGCAAGTATAAAAAAATCGCCTAAAGTTATTTTACCGGTAAATCGGAGTAGTGAAACAAAGGTGCCTCTGATGACATATGGGAGAAAACGCGGAACACTGGCACAGATCTTCGATGTAAACCACAGATTTGACCTGAACCATTCTTATAAGGAATCTACCCGTTATTCATTCACTGTCTATCAGGGCTGTAATACAAATTAGATACAGACAACCGTTCCTTAACCTACTAAGAAAATTAATTTTGAACGGACTTAATCACGCTTAACGAAAAAAGAAAGTGTCATTATCGTTAATATTTCACTTTTAAAATTAAAATCGGTTAATATTCTTTAATTTTTGATAGTGAAATATACCTTTATATCATATAATGTACCTCGCTAATGCTTAAAAATGAATGTGGAATTGCTTTTATATTAAGATAGTATGTAGTAAGTATCTCAGTTCTTAAGATTCTTCTTTGTAGACTTTACTAACCGTTAATAATTTTTTTAAGTTTACAATAACTTATAAAATAAGTAAGATAACTTATAAAATAATAAGATAAAAATATTTTTTTTCTTTGGCTAAAACATTCTATATAGGTTTGATGCATAGGTTGATTGCAGATACGTGCGCTTATGTATTAGAATGCTGAACTAGAATGCTGCAGCAGAAACCTATATTAAGGTTAGCTCGAATAGGTTGATTCAGCCGGGGAAGGACCACGCTCTCACAAAATACCACCGTAAATAGCCCTTTTCACTGGAAACTAGGCATTCCGTCTTAGTCCTCAGAAGTGTACGAAGATGTCTATGTTCCACAGCATCAACTTAGCATCAGGTGGACTGTCCTCGTTTTTCACCCTCTTTTTCTTTAAAATTCAAACGCTAAAGTTGACGACGTACAAATTTTATGTCAGTGTATCAAGAAATTTTTCATGCGAAAGAATACATTAGTCTTGCTTAAATTATCGTTTTTATACTTCTCCGGCACTGCCCGGTCAGATGAATCACCGCTTCTGTGCGAATTAACTGTACAACTGTGTTTTTTACAAATAGATTATATTTATACTATATATTATTTTTGCGCCATTTATTGCAAGCCCTGCAGACCATAAAATAATAAAATAAAATAACATCTCGTCGCCTTTATGAACAGTACTATTATTTCAATTTATTAATAAACACAACATAAATACTTTTATCAATGTAAACAATAAAATAAAGGACATTTAAGTCAGCACTAATAAAAAATACTACAGCAATAAATGATACTAATAAACTACAACTTACTATAAAATATCAATAACTATTACACCTGGCAAAGTCGATCTAAAAAAACTGCTCTATAATAGGGTTGGTGACTAAGTAAAAAATATGACTTGGCTTAATTTATTTTAGACGTCGACTTTCTTTGTTATCGGCAACCCATAAGCAGTCGCTGTTGGCCTCCCATATCATAAAAACGATTTGCCGCAATTGCTATGCTCGATACAGTGGACTGTTATCACACACAGATATCGTGGGTAAATCTTTGTTTCAGAGAGCACGAAGGATCTATGACAGAAAATATCTGGCCGCCGAACTTCAGCATGTCAAGCAAGTATTGCAAGACAACAAGCTTCGGGTCCCGCGCCTACGTCACAGTGACCGAGTGAAGCCGGCCACAGTCGAGCGCGTACCTGCTGTACTACCATATGTCAGAGGAATCACAGACAATGTTGGCTACATCTTGAAGCGAACTTCCATTAAAACATACTACAAGCCGCCGAAGAAGATTAGTCAATTTTTACCATCCGTCAAGTGTAATATCTCTCTACAAGATGCAGGAGTTTACAAGTTAGATTGTGAATGTGATCTCTTTTACATAGGTCAAACAAAAAGATCCATAAAAACCCGCGTGAAAGAACATATAGCTGACATGAAGCACCGATGCTCTGGGAAGTCTGCAGTCTGTGAACATGTTCAAGATCATCCCCGCCATTACATCAGATTTGATAAACCACAAGTCCTCGCAAAAGAACACCGATTCCTACCAAGGATGATACGCGAGGCTATTGAAATTAAAAAACATCCTAATTTCAATAGAGAAGATGGTTGGGTGCTGCCATCTGCTTGGGATCCTCTAATTAACAAAATTAAACCCAAACCCAAGCATACCACTGCAAGACTTCAAGATACTGTAAGTTCGTTTTGCGTAAATCGGACCAAAAATTAATATTCAAAAACTGAAGGTAGCCGGGCTAACAATGACATTGGGACGTCAAACATCTCAGTCCCCCCCGTGACCATGGTTGCTGTAAAGCACCCGAAACGTCGGGAATTAAAAAAATAAGTAAAAGTAGTGAAATAAACGCGATAAAATCCGTAAATTTAGTTTTATTCAACACACAGATATCTCTGCATATTCACTCAGTGATACGTTTTTATTATAGAATAAGGGTGATAAATGAGCACACTGTCCATCTGATGGTAAGCAGATGCTGTGGCCCATAGACATTTATTCTCAATAAAGAATCAAAATTCAAATGCGTGACACCCCTGAGGACTAAGATGGAATGCCTTGATTCCAGTAAAACGGTCTCCGATTCTATACAGTACAGTACAAGTCCTGCCCCGATCGAGCTGACCCATTCGTGCTACAACTATAATATAGCTGTGGCATGGCTCTACCATGTAAAAAAAATCTGTCACAATATCTGCAGTAGGACTTCAGTAGCCACTTACACTTACCATCAGGTAAACCGTAAGTTTGTTTATTACGTCACGTTCTTTTTATTGCGTAAGTATTTTTAAAGTATATAACTTATAACACAGTACTCCCACAGTATAACATTAAGGTGTAATATTCTAATATTATGTACAATAATCCTGTAATATTGTGGTGAGAAAATAAATCATTTATTATTATTATTTTGGGGTATCTATATAGTTTTCTCATCTGGTTGGGTGCTATAAATATATAATTATAAATGAAAATGAAAAGACAAATATACATAAATATCAATAACATAAAATAAATATAAAAGTACATAAATAAATAAAAGCCCAACCAGATGGAGGCCCTCGGCAGGGGAGACCAAACGGCCGAGGGTTAGGGGGAAAGGGAAAGAAACCGGCGGACGATGCGGGCGGTATCGAGGAGCACCGCCTTCTGCATTTGAACCTGGAGCGGTCCGCCACGTAGTCCCAGCCGCCTCAGATGACCCGAGAGGCTGACTGGGATTAGCCCGTTTGCAGAGACGACTACAGGAATAATTTCGGTCGGCAGACCACCCCACATGTCGGTCACCTCGTGAGCCAGGTCCAGATATTTTGTTTGCTTGTCTGTTTCGGCTTTCACGAGGTTCTCGTCATACGGAATGGTAATGTCGACCAAAAATATCCTTGACTGTGCCCGGTCCATCAGCACAATATCAGGCTTATTCGCAAGAATAGTCCTGTCTGTGATGATGGCCCGGTCCCAATAGAGCCTGGCGCGATCATTTTCGAGCACGGCTTCCGGCAAGTACTTGTAATACGGCAATTTCCGATCCACGAGACCGTATTTCAGAGCGAGCTCCTGGTGTAGAATTCTGGCTACTAGGTTGTGCCTGTGCAAGTACTCAGAGTTAGAAAGCGCCGAACAACCGGAGATAACATGCCTAAGTGACTCACCGGGATGGCGACAAGCTCGACAGATGTCGACGGTGCCATCCTTTAGGATGTATCTCCGATAGTTGTTGGTCTTAATAACCTGATCCTGTATTGCACAGACAAAACCCTCGGTTTCCCCGAAGAGATCACCAAAGCGTAGCCAGTGGAGGGAGGCTACTGTGTCTACGAAAGGCTCATGTAGAGCCTTGTAGAACCTCCCGTGGAGCTCCTTCTCCTTCCATACGGTCTCCCGGTCGGAAATGCTCTGCACTGCCGGGTCTTGCCATTGCTCGTTGGCTAAGGATAGAGGGGTAAGTCCTTTATCACAAGAAATGACGTCCTTATAGAATGGATCATCCGATCTCGCCAGGAAGTAATCACGGAGGCTGCACACTTCGCGATTATGCATGGTGAGCGCGCTCAAGAAGCCACGACCACCATGCTTCCGCGGCAAGTACAGCCTCATTACCGACGATCTCGGATGATGCATCCTATGGGACGTCATTGTAGTGCGGACTTTTCTATCCAGGGCGTTAAGTTCAGTCTGAGTCCACCTGAGTATGCCAAAGGTATACATGAGGACAGGCATGACCCAGCCGTTATATGCGTGTGCCTTATTCACACCGGACAAAAGGCTGTTAAGCACTTTGGTCAAGCGTGCATAAAACACGTCGCAAACTGACTGTTTCATACCAGTCTCATCGATACCGATGTTTTGTGACATACCCAGGTATCGGTATGTTTCAGCCTCGGAAAGGGTCCTTAAGTTGACGGGCATAGATAAGTCTACGCCCTCAGAGTTAGCAACCCTTCCCCTTTCAACATGGAGGACCGCACACTTATCCGTCCCCAGCTCCATTCCAATGGAATTGCTAAATTCACAAGTGATGTTTAGCAATTCCATAAGATGGAAGCGACTGGAGGCGAATAACTTGAGGTCATCCATATAGAAAAGGTGGGTCACTTTTGTCCCTCCTTTCCGTAGCTGAAATCCCCTCCCGGAGCCCTCCAGTAAGGTACTGAGAGGGTTCAGAGAGAGGCAGAACCAGATTGGACTCAGACAATCGCCCTGGAAGATACCCCTTCTTATCCTTATGTGGTTCTCCGCAGCCATCATCCGTTCGCCTAGATGACAAAGGATCGTACTCCACTGCCCCATACACTGCTCGAGGAAGTCTCTAACTGTACAGTCTATCTTGTACAGCTCGAGGACTCTCTTTAGCCATGTATGGGGCACCGAGTCGAATGCCTTTCTGTAGTCTATCCAGGCGGCGGAGAAGTTCCGACGGTTGCGTTTCACCACTTTGCCAATGACCGCGTCAATGAGGAGTGGTTCCTTGGTTCCACGACTACCGCCCCGACATCCATTTTGAGCGCGCGACATCACCTGATTTGAGTCCAGGTGACAAGTGATTCTCGCGCTCAAAATGGATGTTAGTGTCTTGTAAATGGTCGGTAGACACGTGATGGGGCGGTATTTGCTCGGGTCTGTGGTACCCTGGTCTTTAGGAACTAAATGAGTGATCCCAGTAGTGAAGAGGCTTGGGAGCGACTTCTGGTTGAGAGCCTCTTGAAACTGTCGGGCGAGCACAGAGTGACACACCATGAACCCCTTCAGCCAGTAGTGATGCAGCCCGTCAAGCCCCGGACTTTTCCAGTTCGGGGCCCTACGAACCGCCTCAGCTACGTCATCCGGCGTTATGATGACGGGGTCCATGGGCGTAATACCCGCACACTGACTCGCCACAACTTCCGTCCAAGGGCCCTCGCTGTGGTTTACGGGCTCTGACCACAGGCCGCGCCAGAATGCTACAGTGTCGGCCTGATTCGGTGCTGGACCCGTTCCACTTACCATTGGTCGCTCCAATGATTCATAGAGCCTCTTCTGATCACTCTGGAAGAGACGATTCTGGTTGAACCGTGTCGACCTCTCGGTATTTCGCCGAATCCGCTTTCCCCAAGCAGCGATTCTCTGCTTCAGATCATCTATGCGCTCCGTCAGTTTTTGCGTTATATCCGGCTGGGACAAACTGACATTTGTCCCAGCAAACGCCATCCTGACGGTGCGCACAATTCTTGGCCTGTTGTTGCCTGATCTGAAGCATATCAGTCTGCCGATGAGAGCTCTAGCCTTTGCAATACGTTCCTCAATTCTTCTTCTCCATGCTGGGATAGCGCTACTATGGCCAGTAGCGCGTCCAGCCGTGGAAACCTTGGCGCCTATGATACGGCAGACTGCCAGCGCGGCGCCAAAAAGAATTGAGTCCGTCTCGCAAAGGTCCCGGCTGGCTTCCAAATAGGTAACCAGCATTGGGTTCAGAGCCCTCACGACAGCCCGATTCCGCTTGCTTAGGGCTATGCGGGGAAGTCGCGGTCGATTTTCGAGAAGCGTACTGCGCGTTTCCACAATCGCTTCTTCCAATATACTCCTCATATGCTCTAATTCCAGTTCCTGGGCGACTGTTCCATCATCGTTTGAATCAACCACAACTGGGGTATTCACGGCGGCATCCACGTTTGCGGGTTGCTCTACCATTTGTGGCGCCGCATCCTCAGCCGTAGCATTCTCATCCGACGAGGGAACAGCCTCACGTCGTAGCCGTTCGAGTTCGGCGACATCAAATATATTTGAGCGCAAGATATACCGAACTCGGTCTGCCAGGTTTTGCTCTGTGACGATTAAAGATGGCTCCAGCTCAGCAAAAAGACGATGCATCCTAGCCCGATACGCCAAACATCCAGTTTCTTCCCCTTTTGCCCTAAAGTACGCCCGCAGTGCGTTTGCATTCATTTCTTGTGACCAACGCATGCGACGTGCTCCACCAGCGGCGGGTGCCGCTTGCTGAGTCCGAGAAGACCCAGCCGACACCAAGCCTTCTGGTGGGGATGATGGATGCGGAGGGCTGGTAGATGACCGTGCAGCTCCTCGCGCTCGGCTGGCGGCCCGCATGCTGCCGCGTCCAGCGCCAGCTCCAGACGCGCCCCGGCGACCCCCAGGCAGCGGCCCTTTGCGCAATTTCTTTTTATCCATCATCCATTATTTGGGCGTCCATTAACGGGAGACGCCCAGGCCCGGCACCGTTTCGTGTGTAGCCATAAGCACAAACGGGCCTCTGCACCCTAAATTCTGCCGCGGCACGGCGCTCACACCTCTCGCAAGGCGCTGACTGACTGCGTTGACGTAGCAGTTTTGTCACTTAACTGTTACGTCAGCGGGCGATGGGGTCGTCAATTCCCTACGCCTTTTTTATTATTATTATTATTATTATTATTATTAACAACGTTTATACGTAGCCGCAATATGGTTAGTAATTGGTAAAGGTATATTTCCCTGAAATTTACATAATTAAATAACTAACGACAGCGAAAAAACACACCACCATTTGTTTAAATTAGCCTCAATTCTGATCAATTCAACAAGTAGTTTGAGTGGCAAGCCCGCATTAGAAAATTATGTCAAATCAATATTAGGTTAACTGGTTAACTGCATTAATCATGCGCAAAAAACCTTTTTAATTTTCACGCCGATTTCATTCGTGATTGATAGAATTTTAAGTCAAGAGCCATCTGTCAATGTTATTTTGATATACATAGAAATAATATAATTACGTGTTCGACACGATTTTCTTAATAATTTAACTTTTAATAATTTTACGAAATCATCTTTTTAGTCTTTTATCGTAGTAAATTTATAAAACTTACTGAATTTAGGAGTGACGAACATAAATTTCCTGCAATGATGATAAGCTAACTTTGACATTTAAAAGGTAGCGATAGCTCAAAGTGGGATGTCGGTCTTTAAGTGTTAACGATGTTAACATAATTATCGATCAGGCATGCGACTCTGAAAAAACTAGCCGACAGAAATTTGTCGGAGCTCACAAAAAATTAGCACTTGTCAGCTAAATGCTAACTGACTACAATATATTCTGCCTATAGAATACCGAACTGGTTGGGACCGACATGAAGAAATATGCCAAAAGTCGTAAAGGCTCGATTTCACCGAAATTGTGTATAACTGTGCAGAACTCCAACAGTGCACGTTCTGAGCTGCAAATTGTACATGATAGAGTCACGCTACAACTGTATTATTGCTCAAGCACTCACAACTGCTCGCACAGTGTAAATACCAGCGTGAAATAGTTTCATTATGTTGCTGTGCTTAGTATATTGAGTGAAGAAAATCGATGACATTGTTACTGGCAACAAGGCATTCCCTCTTAGTCCCCAGGTATGACAACTCATCTCAATTTTGATTCTTATATTTTTTAATCTTATATTTAATCATCTAGACTAACGTTGATGCTTCTAGATCACAGCGTTCACTTACCATCAAGTAGACTGTGTTCGTTTGACACCCTTATTTATTAAAAAATTGATAAACTGTGTGAATTTTTGTAAACGTACACTGCATCACCTCAATAGCGATTATCCTTCACTCATCGTGTGCTGGGCATTCTGCGAAGAGCCTCATCGTGTTGTTTGGGAGAGGCCCGAACTGAAGACTCAGTGCGTGAACTGAAGCGATTCTACCGCTAGTTCTAATGCGCACACGCTAGTTTACAGTAAACGTAGGATTACTCTTTATCCACTGTGTATGTGTGTATGTGTTTTTTTTTAATAAATTACTATGTTTACTTATGAATATAAATAAGAACGAGTGCGTGTCTAGTTAGCTCGGAGAGAACGGCTTCCGATGACCGTGCTGAATGCGGCCTTCGACACAGTCCGCCCACGTTTTGCTATTGAGTCATCGTCGCCCACCTTCTTTCTGCTAATCCCTGTGTTATTAGCATACCAATTTTTACATTAATATTCACAGCTTTCATGGCCTTCAGACGCTCAAGTGTCAGTAACGGATTGTAACGTCGTCTAGTACAATAGTATTGAAACGACTAAAGTTTTTTATTTTGCAACAAGCCTAATGCTTTACAGCAATTAAAAAATCCGACTTCATTAAAAATTACATTGAAAAGTAACAAAAATTTTACCCTTTATCACTTCGACAAATTGACGAATCTAACGACACGCCATTATTTTAAAATCTAAAAAGTCGTTAAGGCTACAGAGCGTGCTGAAGAAATACACATACATAAATACCACAGAAATCGTAATGCGTGTCTTGTTATTACGATTTCTATGATACATACCCACGAAAAACATTTCTCCTCCTTTTGGAGCAGTCTAACTAAACCTTCTGCAAAGAATTAAACTTCAATTGATTCTCGGATGTCGGCGAAAAGAATTGTGTTTCATATGTTTTAATCAATTATGTTCAGGATTATATATATTTTCGAAATATTCGTGCATGATGCTTTATTACGAGAAATATTATTATTATAATTGTAGATGTGTTGTTGTATGAGAATGATTTTGATGACAACTAGATTGTTTTGATCGATCGTTTTGGGTTTGATTCCTGCACGTTATTTATATTACTTACATATAATTGTTCTGAATCGGATGTAAATAATGTGGACGTATGCTATGTACTCGCATATCAAGTAAAAAGTACTTGTTAATAGTACATATCTCAATGATCAACATCATTGTTATCAACGTAAGCGATTCAAAAAATTGGTTCAGAATTAAAGAGTTATGATATCGATTATACATTTACACATACATCGAGTAATACCTATAGAAAAAGGTTGACAAACTACAAATATAATGACGGCTCCGTAGCGCAGTGACTTAACAATGAGTTACAGCGCTAAGGGTCGCAGGTTCGAATCCCGCATGGAACAAGTATTTGTATGGCCTAAAAATAATTGTTCCGGGTCTGGATGTTTGTCCTTGTGAAATTTATGTTTGTAAACTGCAACACCCACGATACATGGGAAAATCCTAGTGTGGAGGTAATGTTTAAAAAAACATAATCTACTTGATAATAAGTGAATGCTGTGGTCCATAGACATCTACATCTACACTTGATTAACAATCAAAATCCAATGCACTGTCACCTCTGACGACTAAGATCAAATGCTCCATTTCCAATGAACGAGTCTCCGATTCTAACGCACATCATACCAGTCAAGCCGACCCATTCTTGCTAAAGCCATAATATATCTGAACGTGGCTTTACCACGCATATAAATTAAAATTATATTGAAAGTATCGCTAAAATGAAACTTAAGGGCTATTCCTGTTATTATTTTCTGAAAGATTTGGAGTACTTTAGAGCTTACATTTTAATTTTTATATACAAGGAAGCAGATACTTAATCAGTCTCGATTAATAATAATATGCCTTAATTTTACACAAGTAGTTCTAATGGTTTTTACATTTACTCTTTTTACTAGAAACGAGGCATTCCATCGTAATCAATTGAAAATAGTTATTTTAAGATAAATGTAGATGTCCATGGGCCATAGCATCCACTTACCATCAGGTAGACTGTTTGCTCGTTTGTCATCACATTCTTAAAAAAATCTATACAAACAATTATCAACGTCACAATTTTAAGCCGTTGTAAGTATGCTCATGGTTAATGTATACAGAGATCCCATCGGTTCACGACGTCCGGTTGTTAAGTCTACGGACACCACTGGAACTCCAAAATTAGCCTGCGCAAATGCTGCACACGTGACCGCCAACGGCGTTGATGCCGGTGAGATAATAATTATTATTATGAATTTATCCAACCAGTGTTACAAGTACAATAATTTCAGGTAGTAGATAAATATTATAATATTTATCCAATTTATTTTATGGTAATATTTATCCAATTTATTTTATGGTAAGTAATTTCAATTATGCTTTTCAAACTTTTTAAATGCTTATTTTATTGTTCTTTTATTATAACATGGTAGAACTACACTGCAGCTATATCAGGGTAGGCTCGACTAGGGAAGTTTCCACAAATACCAAAGTAATAGTAGTAGTAGTACAGTATATAGCAGCTTAATGCTGAAAATACTTAATATTAGATATTAAAATATAATGTCTAATGTCATCTTTATTCTATCCGTGAAAGTTCGTGAAGATGTTTGGATATTCGTTATTCAATCATGCATAAACTAATTTTAATAAAACTTTCTAGTCCAGTAGCTATAAAACGTTTTTTTAATGCAGTGGTAAAGAGTTTCGAGGATATAACGTCAACCTGCCTTACACCTTTCTTCAGTTGGATAGCATTCGTTTTGTACAAGGAAGGCTAACGTAGCCCATTAGGGCATATAAATATAATATATATTATATAGTAACATATAATATAGTCATCATCGTGTGATATACGGCATATAATATAGTAACATTAGCATAGAGCAGCTTAATGGTGGTAAAGAACCAGAAACCATTCAAGGCATTAGTCCTCAGAGGGGACAACGCATCTACATTTTTGTTCTTAATCGAGTGGACAAACCATCAGGTGGACTTTGTGCTAGTTTGTCACCTTTATTCCAAAAAAAACGTAGGTAATTTTTAACCATTTTAAGTTAGCGCTCAACTACCATCCCACCTGATGGAAAGTGGTAATACAGCCGGAGATGGTGAAGCGCACTGGCTTAATCAAAAGCCTATTCACCCTTGCTTGAAGAGACCCACATTGTAATTCTTTGCTGTACGCATGACGAACGATGTAGCAAACCGTTTGGTTCGAATGCGTGGTAAATCGACAACGAAAGGGTGGAGCCTGGCTGATCGTCTGGTCGTCCGATGGTGGAAGGGGGAGGGAGAAATTAAGTTGTAATATTCCTCTCTCCACTCTCTCCGAAATGCATCCTGTAGAAACCGTACCGATTTATTGTCTGTCTATTGAGTCTATCTTACTGTGGTGTAATATCTACACTATAATTACATATAGGTACATATATGTGTATTATATGTAATGTTTACAAATGTATATATAGTAAAGTAGATTCTTTGTCTTTTTACCTAGGTAAATGACATCATTACTATCTTCATTGCGAAAATTACAGATGCATAGATGAAGTATTCACATGCGACCACCTACAAGCGAAAGGTCTATCTGCAACAACGGTTCGAAAAGATAACCACGTTTCGAATGAGACAAGACTTCATCCACATTAA